AAAACCAGCCTGGTGTATTGCCACCCTGCTGCTAGTAAAGTGTCCTGAGCTGCCCATGCTTTTCCTGATTGCCTAATTATTTTTCACATGGGGAGCATTCAGGTGCAAAATATTCCCTGCTGTAGAAGCTACAATGGGGTAGGATTTGCAGTTATCTTTGAAATGACACTCTTGTGTAGTCTGAAAATGTATGACCGTTGGAGGATGAAGGGAAAAACAGAGTGGTGGACCAGGATTTATTTACAGAGACCTGTTGTTTTGAGACATTTGGCTAGGTTTCACTTTGTGAAAAATATGTATGCAAATTAATGTTAGCTAGAAAGGAACGTGCATGCATCCTTGATGACATGCTAAATGAGGTCAACATGAGTACCATTAACACGATGAATAAGATGCCACTAACTTGACTGAAAGTGTTCAAAGCATCCCTGCTTTTTCCTGGGTGCCTTCTTTGCTCTGTTCAGCCCCAGGGAGCTTCTGCAGTGTGGCACCAGCATCCCCTGTAGGGGACAGATCATATGATTCATATAGACAGTGGGTAGCTCAGTGGTCTCCTCCCATGTCAAAAGTTACCATACTGCAGGCTGAGGGCACTGCCTCTTCCGGAGGGCGAAGCTATGGATACTCAGCGGTGGGACCATTCCTTGACAGGGTGCTGCTGCGGGTGCTCTTCTGCTTGGCTGGCCAAAATCCCACCAGGGCAGTGGTGTTTTCTTCATTTCCTCTCCTAGTCATTCCTGCACACCAGAAGGTAAGACAGGTGTCTGTAGACTGTGTGTGTGCCATCTCAGAGGTGCACCTTTGGGGAGGGGCTGTAAGGGAATATTGCTTAAGGAGCTAGGTTCACGCATTCCCTTTGACAGCAGGTTTTGGACATGCAAACAGAGCAGTTAGAGACCCCATATAGCTTGTGCATCAGGGCACCTTCTCACCCTTCCTCCTGCACACCACTGCTTTAATTGGATCGTCCTTTCACTGGCAATAGATGGAGAAGCTGTGCAACAAGGGTCAGTCAGCACTACTAGAGGCATTTCTGGATTCTATCCTCCAGGCAGTAGCTTGCAGTTGTTTGTAGAGGAATATTTATATTAATGTTAAAATAGAGATATACTGATGTTAGAATAGAGGTATATTAATCTTTGAATAGCTTCCACTGATGCTGCTTATACAAAGCATTTCAAACGATTATAGATAAAGGAATTTCACAAAGGATCAATGGCAGGACCAAAACCAATACAGGTACCCGAGCAACCAGAGAGCTTTCGCTTTCCCATCCAGTGTGCCCAGCTTAAAGAGAGCCTGCAGGCACTGAAAAAAAAAAGATGTGTATGTGGGCAAGGCACTGAAGAATGATGGTTGCAATGCTCTGCATTTGTGGATCACACATGCGGCACGTATCAATAAGGCTCTAGGTCCAGACAGGGCATCCTGACAGGGCAGAAAAGCCCAAATACGACATGAGCAAGGGTAAATTACTGGACCAGATCCCGTGTTTCTATGGGTCACATTGCCTATGCCTTACACAAAACAAAACCATTCAGTCCAGTAACGGACATAACTAAGTGTTTACCTGTACTGTAGTTAATGGCTGTGCACAAGTGATCCCCATTTACACAAAATCAACGTGGAGAACATAGGTATGTTTTAATGACTCCCAGGACTGGAGAGATTTGACACTCTCATTATTGTATGTTTACTACTATTTTCTTGCAGAATTAGTCTCAGGCAACATCGTCTAAGTTAGGCCTATGAAGCACAACTGATTTATGCCTGCTAAAAGAAAACACAGCCTCCCTGTTATTAATATGTGAAGTCTGTAGGTGGAGTCACACCTGTATGATGACCTATTTTGGTGGACTGTGTGTGCTTAAATCCTAGCCTTGATCTTTTAAACTATCAAGTCGGCCATAAATATTTGACAGAGAACAAGATTATAAAAAGCAAATGCAAAATATGAATAGAGGAAGAGCAAATGTATGATTCAATTTTTAATTACCATCACCTTAAACTAAAGACAAGTTCATCTTCTGTAAGAGGCAGAATAACAAATTTCCTGATCAGCATTTGTGTTTTTTAAAGGGAAAGGATAAATCATAGAAACAACAGAACCAGGAAACAAGAGACAAGGTAGAACAGTCTGGTTTTATTACCATATGCAATCAAGAGCTTTTATTTCCCATTTCTCCGCCTTCTTTCTTTTTCTTTCTTGCCTTTTATTTTGTTTGGGGTTTTATTTTTTTTGTGTTTTTCTTTTTTTTTTACAACTGACATTAAGTTGTGAACCATATGTTAGGGGGATGTGGAAATGAAGGGAAACTGGTGACATCACAATACTTTACAACCTTACAACGAATGAGAGTCTGAATCTGTTGCATCTACCAGTGTATAGCAAGGGTGGAAAGCAAAGGCACACATAGGTTCATGAACCCCTCGAAACAGAGGGTGAAAGGGAACTGGGGGTGGGAAAGGATGAAAACAGAAGACCCACCAAGTACAAAATGCACATTTGAAGGTCAACCCAGGCAGAACGCTGCACAAGCTGTTGCCACTATTATTCATCTCTAGGTTTTGGGAGAATGCTTTGAGGGATAATATCAAGGGAACCTGCACATTTGGTGCTTCAGGGGTTTAGAGCTCGGTAAAAAGATTGTGAGTTGGTTCTTTTTTAAAAAAAATTACCATGCTACCTACTGTTTTCAAAGGGTTTTCTGTTTGTTTTTATTAAAACAACAACATTGCTTTGGATACAGATCTATCTACTCCAGTCTGCATAGTTCACTAAGGGTGAACAAAACTGTTTCATAAAAGAAGCCATGATGAAATGAACAAACATGCAAGCACCCTTGTTACACACTTTGGTGTAGACCATCCAGACATATATACCATCTATAAGCTAATGGACTTAAAATCTGTCTTTTCAATCATTCAGAAACAAAACCAAAACCCTGAAAAACAAATGGAAGTATAAAATTTTAAAAAACAAATTGAAACAGAAACAACCACCTTACTCAAACATACTGTTCAGTAGATATATATATATATAAAAAGCTTAGAAGCGATCCCCATCATTTTTCTACAGTATGTTGACACAGTTATTGTAACAGATTAAAAACACAGCTACGTTTTTGCATAAACTGAAAGACTGGAAAGGAACTTACACACCTGCGCGCGCACACACACGCGCACACACCAGTGCGCACACACACTCCCACACTAGCTACGTGCACAGACACACAAAAGAAACAAAGGAAACCCACGTTTTTCCCCAAAGAAGTATATGCAGCATCCTTCTGGAGCAGTGAGTAGCTACAGCAGGAGCCTGCCTGCCTGTCCTAGCTCCTTGTGCCCTGCATGCTGCAGGATATGTGGCTCGGCTTTCTGCAGGTCTTGGCCCCTCTCACCGGTGCTCATCCCCAGCCAGGGGACACACCAGCTCCATGGCCAAGGGTATTGGTCATTTTGCTGCTGCCCAGTGAGAATGATCTCCACGCTGACATGCTGTAAAAGGGGAGCACGAGGTGGGGGAAGGCAGAACCCCCAGCATGGTGCCTTGGGAGCATCACCGCTTGTGGGTGGTTTTGAGAGAGGACTTGGCACAGCTAGAAATTCAAATTGAAGTGGAGGGTATGGTGCTAGCCTAATTTCTTTAGGGATGTGAGGTTATGACAATAACCACCATGTTCTTCTTTCAATGTCTTTACTCCAGTTTTTGAAGGGACTTGGAGGAGGAAGGATAAATAAATATTCGCATTACTCAAAGGGGAAAAAAAAAAGGTTTTACATACTACAGCTCACAAATATACACAACTGAGGGTGTAAGGCACAAATTTACATGTGGAAGAAAACAGGCTATTCACAGATATATTCCCACGAAAAACCCGTGTGATAAGACCGTAATTTATGCATGGTAACAGCCGGCATATTAGCTAGTTCACACTGTTTGAGGATTTTGTTTGCCGTCTCACATGCAAGGTGAAATGAGATGGCACATCACAAGCTGGTGCCTTCACAGAAAGTATTAGCTACTGACAAAGCCATGTTGATAGCAATGGTGCACAGATGTGCAGCTTTTGAGTTTCTCTTGCAGTTGCTTCAGAAGTTGTGAACTTGCAGTATTGTTGTCTTAGGTCAGAGGCCCAGCCAGCTAATTAGCTGAGAGACTTAAATAGATATCCCCTTTTTTTTTCAGCTAACCAGGCAGTCCAGGCACAAAGTTCAGAATTTCAGATCCAACTTATCTAACTCAGTGAATTTCTTGGAAAAATAAAAGAGTTCTAATTACTCCAGTTAATGGGTTTCATGTTAAATAGGTATAATTTTCAAAGTACTTCTCTGAAGAGCTGCTCACAGGATGATATGCAGGTCAGTTCTTTAGGAAAAGCAAAAGTTGAACAATAAATAAGAGGAGTTACTTGCATTAACAGTCATGTGTTATTCATTAAAAGAGAAGGGTAGCAGAAATCTATGACATAGTTTGCCCAAACTGGCATTTAACTGCTGTGACCAAATGGCTGTAACACTGATGAGAATAATTTCACAGTACCTGCAAGTATTAAAAATCTGCCATTGTTAAGTCAGAGTTAGCTTTATCAATTGATTTATTGGGTTTTAATTTTTTAACCTTTTTTTTTTTAAATTTTTTTTTCCAGAGCACTCGTTCCCAGTTCAGGAATGCACTGTGCAGTTGGGG